GAAAGAGAGCAATTTAGATTATGGGAATGGGAAGGGGACGGGCAATGGTTTCCTGGAGAAGGCTACAGTGATGGTAAAGCTGGATTTTGAAGGATGACTAGGATTTAGATAAATAGACATGAAGAAAGAGGTATAAAAAGTAAAGACGTAGAGTAGGAAAGGTCCATGAGCAAAGGGTTCTGGGTTCATTCCAGGAACAGCAAGTTAACTATTCAACCAACAAGCCACGCCTGTGTCATGGTATTTCCTGGGGGCAGGCCCTGCATTTAGCATGATGTATGCAGATTCTGGGTTTAATAAGACTGCATTCTTGCACTCAGCTATCACCTCGTCTGGAGGGGGTGGGAAATGGGCTGGGAGCTCTAGATGGCAAGGCTCTAGTCTATTTTTATCACACTGCACAATAGGTGCTCTATTTGATTGACAAAGGAATAACCGTGTGTGAAGCACTATGACACAGTGCCATAAAAGCTATGCACAGGGTGGGCAGGTCACCCATGCCCACGGTGGGGGCAGGGGGTGGCTGGCACAGGACAAGCGAGCTTCCTAGAGTTGAGTTAGGCAGCATGAGATTCAATGTGGAAGCCAAAATGGTGGGTAAGGAGAGGACGCTGGAGCAGCAGAATTAATATGAAGAGCACAGAGGAAAGAGAATGCTTAACATATAATGAGAATATCACCACACAGCAGTTGCCTGTGCTCCAAAGCCATAGTATGGATTAGTGGGCAAAGCACCGGACTGAGAGTCGAGTGAGTTCCTGTGGGACAGTAAGCGAAGAGCGGGGCCTACCCCACTCTAAGCACTTGCAGGGGCCTACCCCGCTCTAAGCACCTGCGGGGGGCGTACCCCGCTCTAAGCACCTGCGGGGGGCGTACCCCGCTCTAAGCACCTGCGGGGGGCATACCCTGCTCTAAGCACCTGCAGCATACTAGGCCTTCACATACTTTATGTCACTGAATCAGCACAATAGCTCTGAGTGGTAGGTTCTATTGTTCCTTATTTAGAGATGAGACAACCAAGGTTAAGAAACTTGTGCAAAAATATACAGCAAATTGGTGGCAGAGTTGGTTCCAACACAGAGTTTTTCCCCAAAACTCACATTCTTCTCCTACATGTTCCTAGTGTAATAATAATTTTTTTTAAAGGTAGTTAGACTAGATGAGCTGTAGACCCGTTTGGCCTTATGCAAGAATCCCAGAGATGTGGTCTGCCTAAACCTTTACCTCCACCATCTCTATAATGTTAGGTGATGTCAGTTAACAAGATCCATAAAGTGCTTCTAACAAGATCTCAGAGTGGAGAGACCTTTCTTTTGTTAAGGAAAGAAAGAAATCTAAGTCCTAAGAAATCTCACATTTAAAATATAAACACACACAACTATGAAAGTGGGTTAAACGTGCAAACTGAAGTGTCATTTGTATTCCTGTACTTGGAGTCAGAGGAACCCCAATGTGATGAGCAGAGAAACAACATAAAACAGTCATGTCGTGGTCACAAACAGTGGGGTCACCACCTGTCAGCAAGAGTCAACTACTGAACCCAACTGTGACCTCCATTCTAAGAAATTCCGTCTCTATCGGGTTGGATTTAAACCCACTGCCCCAAACAGAGAAAGAAGTAGCTACCTCTACCTCCCTGGTTTCATTTTCTATAGCATTAGTCATCAAGTCTGACTCCTGCAAACAGGGCAGTTTGGCTGGGCAACAATAGCCCGACTGCTAATATGGAAACCAACCCTGCCTTCCATCTTTGTAGCTGGCACACTGTACAAAAGGACTTTCCCATAAATCGCCTCCCAACAACGCTGGGGTCTGAAAGTCACATATTACTATCACATGTGAGATGACCAAGTCAAGACCTAGAGAGGATGTGAGATACAACCAGGGAACAGGAAAGACACTGCCATCGCTGGGCTTCCAGTCTTTATCTTTCCACTTTTAATTTTGAACTCAGATTATCCAGCATCATGGCCAGAGACACAATCCTCCCTGCTTCCTTCCACTCTAGGCCAAGGGGGCAACCTCCTCTAAGCAGACAGTCTGGAATCAAAGCCATCTTCTGCTTTGCCAGGAAGGAAAAAATAGGTACCTGAAGTCAAATTGTCCTAGGTGAGGGCTAAGAGTGTACCTGCATGAGCATGAACACACCTGTTTACACAGTAGTCAGCATCCCACACCTGGCTTTTCTGAGATTTTTAGCCTCCACACAGCCTTCTCTCACTCTGCCAGAATCACGGCTCATTCACTAATTAAAGGGTATTATGCACTTCACTGCACATCAGCTAAGAACTTGGAATAAGGAAGCTTATGCTACAGTATTAGCACTGGAGATGCCGCTAGGTATGCTTTATAGAAAAACAAAAAACAAAAAACAGAAAAGCCATCCACTTGTGACAGCTCTTCCCCCATACCCAACTTCTCTAATAAGTCAGCTGCACTTAGAGAAAGAAGTCACCTAGCATGGTACAACCCCAGACAGAGCCTCATAAATAAGCCAAATGGAGAGGGTTGCACAGCAGAGAATGAATAAGAGATGGCCAGCCAGGTGGCTTCTCCAACAGCCACCTGTCCAAGCTCTCTGCTGTCTTCTGGTATAGCAGCCCAAAAATAATGATGCTTATATCCCAGGCCAAAAAAAAAAAAAAAGCAGAAGGACAAAGGGTGAGATGGGAGGAGGACTCCTCACTGTAAGGTTTGAGCAAACTCAGCATCATGTTCCCTCTAGCAAAGGCTCAGCACTGCTGCCCACTGTGCCCAGCTGGGGGCAAAGACCACATGCTGGTGCCTCCTTGGGCTGTTCTGGAGCAGATGCTTTTTCTGACACACCCTGAATAACATGAGCAGCAGCCCTGAGGCTCACCCCCTTTTCGGTGCTGGGGAAGGTCGTACATAGAGTGTCAGCCCAAGCAATGAGCACTCAAATAGGTTAGTCTTGAACTTGGTGAGGACAGCAGATAATGACACCTCACTGACAGAGCAGTAAACCTTCTCCATAGGCAATTACTATTTGGGAAACATTACAAAGAGGTCAAAAGCTCAGGAGACCTGTAAAACCTGACCTTAAAGGCCTCTTGGGACCCCAGCAAGTCAAATGATTAGCCAAGTATAAAACAGGAGCCTGGGGGTCCAAAAAACATTTACTTCTAAATGGAACTTAGACACGGATTCAGAAGCCACCAGTTGGACATGCAGTCAGGAGGAAGCTAGAAAACTCAACCCAGAGTCTGCTACCTATTACAGTTTCTGTGTCACCCTGTGTCGTCTGTGTATTCCATGTGTGTTCAGGCAGACAGAGGAACAGCTGAGTGCATTTCCAAGCTGCTCGGCGCAGTGGTGAAGCTGAGCGTTGCCAGGAGCTAGAAAGAACAGGGTGGAATATAGTGATGGCTTCAGCCTCCAAAAATAAGGCATTTTCTCTATCTCTCCTCAAGTCACCTAAGACATCATTTGTGCATGACACGTTTTAGGATCCTGCTTGCTCCATTTAGAAGGGTTTCCAATATTACTGGTCCCTTCCCCCAGCTCAGACTGGCTTTCTCTTTAGCATACACTACTGCTGATCTTGCTGTGCTCTCCTTACCAGGTTGAAAAGGGATAATACAAAACAGCTCCTACAAGAAACGGAGTTCTAGCACACAGACGGCGAGAGGCAATGCTCCCAGCACTCCGGGCTTTTCCAGAATCAGAGATAGCCAACGGCAATCACCAGAGGCTGCAGGCAGAGACTGGTTATAGCATTAAAAGAACCTCAGAGCAAGAGGCTGGCGAATCCAAGAGGGGGTGAGGAATGGACGAACCACAGGAAAGGTAAGAAGTCTCTTTATTAAGCAGAGGACCCCACACAAGTGCTGATATCACAGGTCAGTCCCTTCCCAACTGCTATACCTGCCGTTCCCAACTTGCAATTGCATTTTGGCTCAAGGTTCTGAGACTCAAAAGCTCTCAATCCTCCCTAAGGCAGCTATGGGGAAGCAGCCACACGGCACTTCTGGAGGGTCCTACGGCCCCTGATGCCCAGACTTGCCTGGCATCAAGGAGAAGTCACAGCAGCTGCTGTCTGACCTATCACACCAAGTTATGCCTTGCAGCCCGCTAATTGAGCAGAGAACCCCGACAGCAATACTTCTCTCAACCTTTCCTCTCTGGCCCTCCAGAAAGCCCCATGCTGAACGTAAGCCACATCCCCCTCCGCTTTTCCTCTTTACTCAGCTCCACACTCCTCCTCCAGGCTTTCCATTCCCACAGCTGTTCGCCCCCTCCCTGCACCCCTCCTCCTGCATCCACATCGTTAAGCAATTATCCATAGAGAAAACCAAGCCTTTGAGTTTCAAGCCAAAGCTCCCAGACAAGGCAGCCGGGACTGGTTCATTCTCACAGGCATCTTCCTGACCGCCCTGCACACGTGCCTCCTTCCAGACCCTCCTCTCTGCCCAAACACTCTGAACATCTCTTGGCTTCAACCTGCCAACAGATCAGATGGATCTTTGGGGTCCCTGGCCTCTCCTCTCCCCACATGGAGCTCAGAATTCACACAAGAAAAGGAAGCAAGGAGACTTCCACACCTCTGCAGCATCACCTGCTCCAGCAAGCTCCCAAAGCCACTGGAGCCAGGCAGGCTGCCTGGGCCCCACACCCCCTTCTCTGACGGCTTTAGCTCCAGCCCAGCCCACAGGATGCAGTGCCTGATGCCACTTCCGAGCAGAGAGGGAGACACACACACACACACACACACACACACACACACACACACACACAGAATGCCACCTCATCAATGACAAGCTGTTCCAATTACACAGCTTGGACACCAAGCGCACCGGACAACAGACAGCCCAGTCCTCCTCTGACTGGGAGGAAGCCAATTCAGCACATCTGAAGAAGTGATCCCCCACCGCAAGCCTCCCCCCCAGCCCCGCTCACCCTCCATATTTGAACTGACAGCAGTGTTCCATCCCAGCCAGTAGCCTTCACTGCAACCAGCTCCCACAATTCTGACCAACTACCCTCGTGGCCATCGGCTGAGGCACTCCTCTCTCTCCTGTCCCAAAGCACAAGGAGACCCCAAACCAAGCAGGAGACCACCGGCGCACCACGTCTCCAGACGACCAGACAAAGTAAGCTGAAAACCAAGTACTCACTGTTGTGAAGTCTTGGTGGCCGCACTCCTGCCCTTTGAACTTGCAGTAGAGCATCATATCCTTCAGGTCATGGCCCACGCGGTGCAGGAACTCCAGCATGCTGAACTGCTTGGGTTTGTAGTGCTTGAAGTTGGCCTTCTGCCGCAGGGCCTCCAGCACGGAGGGGTCAGCCAGATGGGGGTCTGGGATCTGCAGGTTGACATCCAGCAGGGCCAGCAGCTCCCCAGCGTGGTACAGGTCATTGGTGGTGAGCCTGGAAAACCGGAAGCCATTGAGGTTACAGAGGGTCACAGCTGGGAAGACCAGGCTTTGAGCCACCACTTCGTCCACCTTGGTGACATGCTGGTAGGAGAAGTAGTAGGACACCCTCTCCGAGCTCTCCACCAGCAGCAGGCCCAGAGAGCCCACGAAGGCCACTGCCCAAAGCACACGCCGGATGGTCAGCGGCCCATAGACGAAGATGTGGCGGATGCCGTGGAGGGTGGAGGTGTTGGCAAAGATCTGGATGCTAGAAGGTTGCAGGCTGCCCTCACTGGGGCTCTCCTTGAGGTCCATTGGGACCCTGTGCAGTTCCGCAACTGGCTTCAGGTCGATCGAATTTCAGAGAAGAGTTCCCAGTCCTCGGGCTCTGCTTAAACCTTGATGTTCAGGGGAAGAGAACGCAAGGCAAGCATCAGGCCAGACGCTGTGAGTTTATCCTGAGATCCCAGCCGCACGCTGACAGGGGTGAGTGTTTATGTAAAACCCATTCAAACTCTAGCTCCTGATTTTTTCCAGGCGATAAGGAGGGCTGGTTTTATTTAGGGAGACACCAAGGTGATGTGGAAGAGCTGTGGGTGGGAAGGGAGAGCTTAGCCAATGGAAATAAAGTCCTCCCCCCTACACACGCCACTAGAGACAAGATTAAAAGCGAGAGCGAGGGAGAAAATGCTTAAAACAAGTCTCTGAGCAGCTCGGAGCCTGTTAACCAGCGCATAATGCCCCAGGTTCACCATCCTGGGGGATGTCAGGGCGGCCACGCTGATGCACTGCGGTCGGCGCAGCGGCGCAGCCTTCACAGCCGCCGCCGCTCGCTTCCCTTCCCCATGATGTTTTGGACTCCGGTTGCCGTTTCTCGCCGCCGGCCTCCGTCCCTCCTCTCCTCCTCCAGGTCCCCTTTTGTGGGCAGAATTCCAAATAGCAGCGGCCGCGGCCAGTACCGGGGAGAGGCGGCAGCGCGCGGCGCGGAGAGGCGAGGATCGGTATCCTGAGACTGGGGACGGAGGCAGGGAGCTCAGAGTGGGGCTCCATTCTCCGCCCCCCCCAACCCCCCGCCTTCCGGGAAAAAGGGACAACCCCCAGGTCGCAGAGTCTGCCGGCTTCCTTCGCCCCAGCTCCCTGTCCCTGCTAGGCTGGCTGCCTTGCGGGGGAAGGGCAGGGCGGGGGAGAAGGGCTGGTGGGGGCCGGGGACTTTCTCCAAGTTTTCTCTTTAGCCTTTTCTGGAGAGAGCTAGTTGGGGTTTCTTGGAGGCTGACCTGACAGCCTGGCCCCCGGGTTGAAGGAAGGCAGTGCTAAACTCCCAGGAGCCAAGTGTGAGGTTGGAGGCGGCATTCCTTTGCTTCAATATCTGGGATCCCAGGTGAAACCCAGCCTGGGATCTCCAGAGGGGAGAATGCTAAAAATGCAGAAGGAAGGGGGCGATCTCAACCCACAGTGCCTCTGCTTTAGGCAGCGAGGGGGCATTCTAGGAGAGCAGCCAGGAGACCCTCCTGAGACAGAAAAGCCAGGTTGCCCCCGGAGACCCAGAGAAAGAGCAACAAGTAGTCCCCTCCCCCACCTCCACAGAGTCTGTATTTGAAAGAGAAAGACAACTGGGGTGTGTGTGTGTGTGTGTGTGTGTGTCTGTGTGTATTCTGACCCTGGATTTGTCAGATGGAAGTAGAGCTGGAACTAAAAGTGGGAGCAAAGAATTAGACTTTCAGCCGCCTACCTTTTTTCCTGAAATTCCAATGGCAGTCAGCTCCTCCTAGCAAGTGAGTGTGGCTTGCCCTCTTGCCCCACGCCAGAGCTCAAATGGCTAGAACCTACTGAATTAATGGTGCTAAATCCCTATCAGGAGGAAGGGAGCAGAAAGTCTTAGTCGCCATCCCAAGCCACACTGCCAAGCTGGGGCAGAGCCACATGGAGTCACCTTGATGAGGCAAACTCTCATCTTCAGGGCTTTCCAGGCTTAAATCATACTCCTTGGACGATGTTGGAGAAGAAGGCAGCTGAGGGCACGTCCCTCTAGGTTTAGCTCTACTCTGAAATATGTTCTTATCCCGTCTGGACCCCTGCTAAACCAGATCCCCTGATAATAACACCCAGGTGCACTCTGAGGCAACCTGTAGCATTAAATTGGCAATTTATTGACCCTGGGAGCTCAGCTAGCAGAAGCCTCACAATCAAGCACAAATGGCAAAGGCTGGTAAACCTCACAGATTTGTTAACTCAGAGGTCCTGGGTTCCTGGGATACAATACAGGTTTTTAAAGCAGAAAGACCAAAATTAACAAAGGTCTACCATGTGTCAGGACCTGTGTGAGGGTGTCATATCATCTTATCCCTCTTAACTATCTTGACAGGTACATGTTCTTGTTATTACCCCTATTGCACAGGTGAGAAACCTGGGACTCACAAAATAAAGTGCTGGGCCCAGGTTACAGTTTGTGGTGTCAGAGGTAGGACTTAAACTCAGGCATATTTGTCTCCAAAATGCAGGTTGATAAAGCAAATCCAGAACACCTTCTCAAATTTAGGAAGGGAGCAAGCCTTTCTATGCTTTGCCCCTGATGACACACATACAGATTCACATACACAAACATGAGTTCCTCACTTGTACAGAACAGCTCTATGCCTTTTTTTCTACCACATCACATCTCTATTGTCCTTTTTTTTTTTTTTTTTTTTTTTTTTTTTTGCCCTAGCTCTAGGACCTCTCCTACAGGAAGACCTCCTGAATTTAATCTGCTAATCTTCAGCTCATCTACCTCTTTAATAGGTATGTTGGCCTCTAACTCTGTAGCAGGCATTGTATGGTTTTGGGAAAACAAGCATAAATGAGATACATATACTGCCTCCTGCCTTTGATAACTCAAGGATCAGTGGGGAAGTAAGCAGAAATAGGTACGCACACAAGTCCCCGCTCCACGGCGTGGACAGCGAGAGAAGCAACATGGCTTGTGGATTCCTGGTATTAGCACTGGCCAGCTGGAAATCATGTTGCTCCAAATCCCCTGTTGCTCCTCCCACTTCCAGCCCTCTCCCAAGCCATGTTCCATACTCCTCCCCACCAGCCCAGGTCTGTTTTCTCCATGAAGGCTCTTCTTTTCACAGAATCATATTTTCTCTCAGTTCACGTCCCAGGCATGTTTTCTCATGTGTGCAGAGATGGGACTTGGAGTTGCTCTAATTGTTTCTTTCCCATTTAGACCCTTTGACTGCTTACCTCTACGCCTCCCCATTTTTTGTTTTGAGGGTTACAAACATATAACATGGTGGGATAAGGTGGTAGAGTCACCCAGGCCTGAATTTGCATCTCTAATCTGCTCTGCCTCCTATTGCTCTGTGACCTTGGGGGAAGTGACTAAACTTCTCTGAACTTCAATTTCTCCACCTCCAAAATGATGGAGCTTAGAATGCCTGCCTCATAGAACTTTTGTGCAAATGAAATGAGATATAGATTATAAAGTATCTGGTACAATTTAGACACTTAGCAATTGACACTATCTTGATGACTATGAAGAGAACATTCTTTTTTGATGTTGGCATTCTCTTACAGGTGATTGGAGAACCATTTAAAGCTCTAGAAGATATCATTTGCCCAGAGCAGTGTTTACCTGTTAGTGTCACCATCCCTTCCCATAGACTAGGGTCAAACACACTCCTCATGCTGTTCTGCTTCCTGTCCATGGCCTTAAGGTCTTCTGAAGTAGCTCTTGACAAGAGCTTTCCAAAAGGCTGAGGAAATTTAGGTGGGAGGCAGGGACTAGAGGAGAAGAGCCCTAATGATGGATTTCACAGTTGGGCACTTGGCTCTGTGCTTGACATTTGGTGGACGTTATCAGTAACTCTGAGAGGAGAGTACTGCCAAGCCCATTTTCCAGATGAGAAAACTGAGTACAAAGAGCAACTTGTCCAAGGTCCCTCAGCTGAAAAGTGGCAGAGGGTTTAAATGTCAAACACAGGTATGTCTGAGTCTGAAGGGTGTGGACCACAAACTACAAATGCTTCAACAAGACCTCAATAGCACAGACCATCACAGCAACAGTCTTGAACAGGAACTGAATTATAGAACATTCTTCAAGAAATACTGCCGTAATATTTTCTAGTATATGTAGCAATTCAACCTGATGGCTAATAAAATGTTTCTATATATCTGTTCTTAAAAGCTCTCTTTAATTGATAATACTCATTTGCAATTAGCAGTATGGTTTACATAAAGACATCAGATATCCTATGATTCTTAAAAATGTTTTTGTGTTACTTAGTTGGTTAAACATTCCCCTCTTCGATTAGGTTACAATACCTATTTGCTTGGCACTAGAGGTAACAGATTGGTTTTAGAGTGGGTCAATTTGGTCCAGATTTTTAAGCACGGACCTAATTGTGTATAATTATGGTCTTTTTGGTGAAGTATATGACAAAACATTAAAGAATTTTTCAGACAAACTCATTTGCAAATCAGGCAATTTAAACCCCTTATTAGACCACATGCCCAGATTTCTGCTGTGGCAAGTTTATTCACTTATGAATAAATAAATGAAGTCAGGAATTAATTTACTTTCTATGACCCTAAGATTGCTACTCTGAGATGCAAGGAGGGGGACCCTCTTCTAACCTTGGGGAACCTAAGGCCAGCCCTGAGCCTGGTTTCTGGGGAGGGTCAAAAGCTCAGAGTGCAGCCTCCTGCCTCTGCAAAGAGTAACAGGCAGGAGAGTTAAGGAAGATGAGCTCTACCATCAGCTCAGCTTGAATGCTAATTTTCTACTTAACACGTGCTAGGTACAGGCCACTGCCACCCCTCCCCCCAATAATTAGGGAAAAAAACATTCTTTTCTAATAAACAAATGACATTATAATTGGAAACTCGGTGATCTTAAAATACAACTTTTCCCTGTGGTTGTCACTGCCATAAAGAAGAGTTAAAGATCAACTATTGTAAAACCAAAGCATCTCTTTGCTGTTGGTTGGTTTATAAATGAACACCTCATACAACACATATTCCCGTTTAGTTACCTGGTGAACACTTAGCAAGTAATTTGTCATCAGGAGTATACGAGGGAAGGGTGTTAAGCAAAGCCAGACATTTAATAGGTAGTTTACTGAGATTTTATTTATAGCTGGTTTTCTTTTTTCTTTCCAGGCAAAAACTACAAAACCAGTCCACACTGAGTGGACCTCTGGGGCTCCCAGCTGCCAGCTGACCTGAACCCCAGAGGTGAACCTGTGTTACTTTGTGGCTTCAGGAATCCTGGTAACATCACTGTGCTTTTTATTTTTTCTTAATTTGTGCTAAATCATTCCTGAGGCCCCCTCCTCCTGCTGCAATTTGACAAGACTTGACCAAATCATAAACTCCCAGTTAATGGGATAAAAATGAGTTTGAATCTAGGATTCTGTTCATTAACCCCATGTCACCATCTGCTCGAGCAGCCTGATGGCAGGGCCAGGTGAATTCTAATCACCCAGCACTTGTTAAACTTCAGATTCCTTCTGCCTCACCCCTGCTGACTCAGCATCTCTGGGGTGGGGCCTTCAAAGACTCTTTTCCTTGACAGTGTTACTGCAGGCAGCTGTA